CCCAAATCTGTGGTTTACATTAGCTTCATTCTTGGTTTGTTCTTTCCCTGGGTTTTCAACAAATGTGCGGGGCTCTGTGTCCACCGTTGCTATACCATGCCAGTTCTGTCCATTGCCTTAAACATCCTCCGTGCTCCACGTAGTACTCCGTCCCGGCTGCCATGCACCCTCGCACCGCTGTGTGATGTTAGCTTTCCCAGAGTACCATTTGTTCGGAGCCTTACAGTCTTTGGGATTGGCTTGTTCCACATACTAATACATATTAGAGTTCCCTCCATATCTGTGTATGGCTTGATAGCTCATTTCTTCTGAATACTAAATAATATTCCATTATCTGCGTATATCCTGGCCTATCTATTCACCTGCTGAAAGACAGCTTGGTTGCTTGTGAATTTTGACAGTTATAAATAGAACATATGTGTGCCAGGTTTTGTGAGGACGTGCATTCTCAGTTCATCTGAGAAAATACCAAGGAGTAAAATTGCTGGTTCGTAACAGTAATTTAATTTTATAAGAAAGTAGCCCTGAATTTGTATGCCTTTTAAAAGTGTATTTATTTATTATTTTTAAAAGATTTATTTGTTTTTATTGGAAAGTCATATATACAGAGAGGAGAGACAAAGAGGAAGATCTTCCATCTGCTGGTTCACTCCCCAAGCGGCTGCAACGGTTGGAGCTGAGCTAATCCAAGGCCAGGAGCCAGGAGCTGCTTCCAGGTCTCCCACGTGGGTGCAGGGTCCCAAGGCTTTGGACTGTCCTTAACTGCTTTCCCAGACCACAAGCAGTGAGCTAGATGGAAAGTAGAGAAGCCAGGACACGAACTAATCCTCATATGGGATCCCAGGGCTGCCAGGACTGAAAGCAGAGCTCTGCCGTGGGATGCTGGCGTTGCAGCAGGCAGCTTCGCTTGCTGAGCCATGATGCTGGTTCCCACTTTAAATTTTAAGATATATTTAAATCTTAATTATAAGGAATTTATTTTTGCTAAATGAAGAGCATCAGAGAAATGCTTTCATATTTTTATAAATGATAGTCATTTATCTCAATGTGATTTGTTGAATAATCCATTTTTTCCTTTGATTTGAAGTATGGCTTATATCATATAATAACTTTCCATTTATGTTAGTTCTATTCTTGGATTTTCCGTTGGTTTATATTGAATAACTCACAAAAAAAGACAAACCACAAAGTTAGGATTTAAGAAAAAAAATCACCCACAATAGGACAGAGAGTGTAAAGCCGAGGGCGAGGAAGTAATAATGCTGAATTTCATTGATTAGATTTCATTTTTGGATTTGCCATTGGACCCTGCAAAGATTTTGGCCTAATAACAGAACAAAATCTAAGACTGCAAAGTATTCTTAAGCAAATGACCTTGTGTTTAGATGCTATTTTTGTCCTGTGATATGGGTATTTTTGCGCTGAGATTATTGTATGACAAATGACCCCAATGCATCCTCGTGTGCTGCTTGTCATCTCTCCAGTGTGAGATGAGGAGCTGTGGGCATCAGATAGAGGATACTGCCGCACCTCAGGATTCCTAACTAGAATTGGAGATATGCTAGTATAAATTCATGAAGTCAGTCATTTCAGCAAGCTGAAGAATATGCCATTAAGTATTTAGTAAAACCCAGCACCAATTTATGATAAAAAAAAAAAAAACCTCAGCAAACTGGAAATTAGAAAATGAGCAAATGATACGCACAGTCATTTCATCAAGTACAGATGGCAAATAAGGCAAGCAGATCATCAGCCTGGAGGAAACTGTAAGCAGGGTACACAGCAGGGGGAGGTGCTGAACAGGATGCTCTTGTCTCGGCCAGAGTGCCTGGGTTCAACTCTGGCTCCTGAGGCCAGCTTCCTTCCTGCCAGGCCCGACCCAAGGGGGCAGCAGGCGGCATCTCAAGCATTTGGGTCTCTGCAACCTGTGGATGTGGAAAGCTGGACTGAGTGCCCAGCTCCCGGCTGCAGCCCTGGACCCAGCATAGCCATGTTGGGCGTCTGAGGAGCAAGCCAGAGGGTACATGCGCTCAATCACTGCTTTTGTTTTATTTTGTCCTGATACACAATCAAATACTAAAGTGAATAAAATTTTAAATAAGTGGACATCAAATGCTGGTGAGGATGTGGAGAAATTAGATCGTTCCATATTACTGGGGAGAATATAAAATATTACAGCTATCTGAAAAATTGGGGTACTTTTTTTTTTTTGTAAAACCGAACATTTGACTATCATGCAACCCAGCGGTTGTACTCCTAGGCATCCACCCCAGAACTATGAAAACTTACTTATAGCATACCAAAACTGTGCACAGACGTTCGGAGATTTATCTGTAGCAGTGCATGCATAGAGAGATCCAGATGTCTGTCCACGGCTTAACTGTAACGCATCCATATCATGGATACTGTTCAGTCAAAATGAAAGAACTGTTGATACACACAATTGGGATGAATCTTCAGGAATTATACCAGGTAGAAAAAGTCAATTCTCAAAGGTTTTCACACTGTTTCATTGCATTTATATAACATTTTAAAATGTCATTATAGAGGGCCCAGCATGTTAGCCTGGTGGCTAAAGTCCTCGCCTTGTACATGCTGGGATCCCATATGGGTGCCATCTAATCCCAGCAGCACCACTTTCCATCCAGCTCCCTACTTGTGTCCTGGGAAAGCAGTCAAGGATGACCCAAAGGCTTAGGATCCTGTACTTGCATGGGAGACCTGGAAGAGGCTTCAGGCTCTGGGCTTCAAATTGGCTCAAGTCCAGCTATTGCAGCCTCTTGGGGAGTGAATCAATGGATGGAAGATGTTCCTCTCTGTCTCTCCTCCTCTCTGTATATCTGACTTCCCAAAAAATAAAATAAATCTTTTTAAAAAGAAATGTCGTTATAGAATTGCAGAACAGATTAGTAGTGGTCCGGGGGAGGGGGAGATTATAAATGAGCATCAGGAAGGATCCTTGTTGCTCTATGTGCTGTGCTGACATCAGTATGACGGGTATGGGCTGTCCTGTGGTTTTCTAAAGTGACACATTTGGAGAAACCTGAGTAAAGACTATGTGGGATCTGTTATTTGTTACAATCAAATATCAATCTGCAGATTCTCAATCAAATGCTGAATTCACTTTGGAAAATTTTGTTGTTGTTGTTAAATGCCAATGTTTGATGAAATTAAAACAAACCTATTCTATGAGCCAGCAATTCCACTACATTGTAATATCAAGTAATAATGAGCACGTTTGTCCAGAAAGAGATTCATACAGCACGTTCATAACAGGTGGGGAGAGGATGCTGTTCTTACGGCAGGATGTTTCTCACCAAAAGGAAAGAGTGGGGAAGAGAAAACTCCTCACAGCAAAACCCTGGTGCGTCTCACACATGCCATGCCAAGTAACAGGAGCCAGGCAGTCTCTAGTGTGATTACCAAGGAGTCCAAGAATAGGCAAAATTCATCGGTGAGGATAGAAGGCAGAATTACCACAGGGGTTATGGAGGGTGGGGTGGCATCAACTGGAAAGAAATTTCAGATATCTTTCTGGAGTAAGGGAAGAGTGGTTATATAGCCATATCCCTCTGATCAAAGTTATTGGGCATTACATTTAATACATAACGTTTACTATGTGTTAAATATGTTCGGCACAGAACTGGAAGAATATCTTCAATTCACAGAGAAAAAAAAGCAAGATGTTTCAACCATGCCCACTTTATTAGTTATATTTAAAACTTATTTCAAACAAACTATTTTAAAAACCTTATTTAGGACATTTCTGAGAAATGGAAAATCTGAAAATTTTGATATTTGATTACATTAAGGAGTTATTGTAAATTCTGTCATTGTGACATGATTATTGTTTTAAAGAGTTTTTAACAGGGCCCACATGATAGCTCAAAAACTAAATCCTCCTCTTGCAAGTGCCAGGATCCCATATGGGTGCTGGTTCATGTCCCAGCTGCACCACTTCCCATCCAGCTCCCTGCTTGTGGCCTGGGAAAGCAGTGGAGGATGGCCCAAAGCCTTAGGACCCTGTACCTGCATGGGAGACCTGGAAGAAGCTCCTGGCTCCTGGCTCTGGATCAGCTCAGCTCCAACTGTTGCAGCCACTTGCTGAGTAAACCAGCAAATGGAAGATCTTTCTCTGCTCAGATGTGATCTACAGGCCCTGGCATGGCAGTCTGGTGGCTGGAGTCCTCACTTTGCACATGCTGAGATCCCATATGGGCACCGGTTCATTTCCTGCTGTGACTTGACTGTTGCTGTTCTACATGATCACATTATCTGTTTTAGCAGCTTTTGTCCACGTGGTAAAACATTTAAATTTTAAAACATGAGCAAAAGATACACCGGTATTATTTTTTAAGATTGTTTTTTATTGGAAAGGCACGTTTCTAGAGAAGGAGACAGTGGAAGATCTTCCATCTGCTGGCCATCTCCCCAAATAGCCGCAATAGCCAGAGCTGAGCCAATCCAAAGCCAGGAGCCCAGAGCTTCTTCCAGGTCTCCCACACAGGCACAGGGTCCCAAGGCTTTGGGTCATCCCCAACTGCTTTCCCAGGCCACAAGCAGGGAGCTGGATGGGAAGTGGGGCCACCGGGTTATGAATCAGTGCCCAAATGGGATCCTGGCACATGCAAGGCAGAGATTAAACCACTAGGCTATCACGCTGGGCCCAGTGTTTTTTTTTTTTTTTGACTCATGTTACTGTGGAAACAAAAACAGTTCACCTCCAAGACAGTATGCTCCAGTTGTCGTAGGGAAAGGGAGTGGCCTAAACAAACCATTGCTTGTCCATGGAGCATCTTTGGTGAGGAGCGGGAGGTCCCCAAGTGCCAAGAACCACGCACACTTCATGTCCCCCCAAGGGTGTGAGCAGCTTGTGTCTGAGTGAGATAAATGTATTTATTGCGGGCATGTACAACAGAAGGTGTCTTCAGAGACTGCCCCGTCCAATGAGATTGATTTTGTTTTCCCACCTCATGTGTTCTGTCTTGTCTTTTTGTCAGGACCTGATGCTATTTCACGAGGATGACCCCAAGCCGCTTGTGCCCGCGATTCCTCCTTGCAGCGTCTCTTCAGATGCATGCTTCGCAGAAGGAGCCGCAGAAGTCCGTCAGGTCCAGGACGCAGGTAAACCGGCTATTCAGAAGTGCTAGTCAGGAACTGCCTCACATTGGTTTGCCTTTTGTGAGCTTCTAGCCGCAGGAGGCTTTTATTTCACTTTGATAATGAGGGATCGGACTGACATGGGCTTATCTAACCCATATGTGAAAGAATAATAATAATAATAAACAGCTAATACATAGCATAGCATAATTCTATCATTGTTTTTGGTTTTTTTTCCCTATACTTTCCTTTAGCTTTTTTTGGTTATTCTTCTTTAAAAATTAGCTACAAACCTAAGTCTTTTACAAATTATTTTGACAGCAGAAAATTGATTTTAGTTCCTTTTCTAGTTTCTGATGAAGAGAATGTTATGACATCTTTCCAAAGCAGGCATTAAGTGAACAAGTGAAAAACAGCATGGCATCTACTCCACAGATTGGTTAATCACCTTTTAAATAGCTAACATCAGAGAAAGGCACATTTTATAAACGATACAAAGCCGGCCCCGAAGGAATCACACAGTGAGATTCTAGCCGGACTCCGCCGTGGCTCCGGGTCCCTGAGGCTGATGGCTCCGCCGTGGCTCCGGGTCCCTGAGGCTGATGGCTCCGCCGTGGCTCCGGGTCCCTGAGGCTGATGGCTCCGCCGTGGCTCCGGGTCCCTTAGGCTGATGGCTCCGCTGTGGCTCCGGGTCCCTTAGGCTGATGGCTCCGCTGTGGCTCCGGGTCCCTGAGGCTGATGGCTTCACTATCAAGCCACTCCGTCCCCTCTGTTCTCTGCTGACTCTCCATTTCCTTCCCTCTTTTCTCTCTCTCGATCTTTCTTAAGTTTTTCTCAACCTTTCTTTCTTAAGATGTTTATTTGAAGGGCAGAGTTGCAGAGAGGGGAGAGAGGGAGGAAGGGAAGGATGGAGGAAGGAAGGACGGGAAAGAGAGGAGGTAGGCAGGGAGAGAGAGAGAGAAAAAAAGAGACTGTCTTTTGTCCTCTGGCTCATTTCCCAAAGGGTTACCATGGGCAGAGCTGGGCCGGGTTGAAACCAGGAGACCAGAGAGCCTTCCGGGTCTTTCCCAAGGGTGCGGGAGCCCAAGCCCTGGGGCCAGCCTCCGCTGTTCTCCCAGGCACAGTAGCAGGGAGCTGGATCGAAAGTGAAGCAACTGGGGCTTGAACCATTGCCCGCTTGGGATGCCGGGACTGCAGGCTGAGGCTCTACTCATTACACTACAATGTTGGCCCCGAATTGTTCATTTTTAAGACATTCTTTCCCTTGATTTTCTCAGAAAGTAGAATGTGAGATCTTCTGCCAAGATGACAATGAGATATTCTCATTGGTATTCCTCTCACTGTGTAGCTTTGCTTTTATATTCGTCCAAAGATCCTTTTCCTTATTACAGAGGCGGCTGTTTGTAATTCAATATTTTCCCCCCTCTTGGACTATGCACTTCAAATTTTCTCCCTTATGTGGATCTTCAGCATCTATCATCTAAAAGCTATAATAGATTAGTATAGATTTTTTTATGTAAGTCCGCATTGATGGAACTTTTATTATGAAGCCAGTTGTGAGAATGATAAAAATATTTTAGAAATGGTTCTTTGAGAGACTGTGTGTAAATGCATGAGCATGTGCCCAAATGGCTTCAAACGCCAGGGCTGCTCTGGGGCTGAAGCTGGGCCCCAAACGCAGGCACTCAATCTGAGCCATCACCGCCAGCTCCGAGGGTCTGCCTCAGCAGGAACTGGTCAGGATTAGAGCTGGGTGTCTAAGCCAGGCACTGCAATGGGACACACAGGTGTCTCAGCCTGTATGCTAACTGTTAGGCCAAAAACCTGCCCCAGTGGTTACATACAATCTTTTTTAAAGAAAGAGTTCTTTATTTTCACTGGAAAGTCAGGTTTACAGACAAGAGGAGAGACAGAGAGGAAGATCTTCTGTCTGCTGATTCACTGCCCAAGTGACCACAATAGCCAGAGCTGAGCTGACTCAAAGCCAGGAACCAGGAGCCTTTTCTGGGTGTCCCATGCAGGTGTAGGATCCCAAGGCTTTGGGCCATCTCTTACTGCTTTCCCAGGCCACAAGCAGAAAGTTGAGTGGAAGATGGGGGCCGTCAGGATGCGAACCAGCACCCGTATGGGATCCTAGTACTTAGAAAGACTTTATCCACTAGGCTACCATGCCGGACCCCCCAGTGGTTACAGTCTTTAGATGGCTTGCTTTGTATTATTGCAGTGCAGTTTTTACAAACAGATCCATTACCAGAAATTTAAAAGTAGAAAATATTTCTTGTATTCTAACAGCCACCTAACCTTTTTTTTTAGACAAACTTTCCTTTTTTGGATAGAATTAGATTCATAGCAAAGCTGAGTGGAAACTGCAGAGTTCCCATATTCCTCCTGTCCCTGCTATCAGAATTCCACCACAGAATAGCACATTTGCTGTAGTCAATGAGGCTGTTTTGCCCAGTCATTTTCACCCCAAGTCGCGGCTTACATTGGCGCTCACTCTGGGTGTCAGCCCATCTGTGCAGTTGGACCAGTGTTTGACATGGGTCCACCACTGGAGAATCACAGTGTAATGCCGCTGCCTTAAACCCCGCCCTCTGCCTGTTCATCCTTCCTTCTCCCCAGCTCTTGGGAACCACTGATCACTTCATTGCCTGCCTAGTTTTGTATTCTCTGAAATGCTGTGCGGTTGGAATCGTTGGCCATGTGGCCTTGTCACACTGCTTCTCTCACATAGTAATTTGCACATAAGGTTCCTCCATATCTTCCCATGGATCGGAAGCTCATTTCTGTTTAGTGCTGAACAAGACATACCACAATTTATTTTTTAAATTCATCTGGTGAAGGACATAATTTTAGCAGCTATGAATAGAGCTGTTATAAATATGTGTGGCAGGTTTCTGTGTGATCATAAGCTTCTCCTCTCACATTTTAATACAAGTGAACTGGAGTGCAAATGTGCATCAGTGACGGCCTTAAGAGGAAAAATTCGTAAGAACACATAGGCTGCGGGATGATGGCTCTATTTCACGCTGCTAGGACCTGTCTTAATCAAGAGTGTCTCTGTGTTTAACTCTCTTTTCTCCAAACTTCCCTTGACACTGGTCTTAGGGATATGTTGCTAAATTTCAGATCATAGCATCTGCCTTTCTAGCTTAAAAACTTTCAGCAGTTTTGTACTACCAATGGGTTGTCTGTTTTTTCTGTATTGACGTAGAGAACTTTTCATGGTCCGACCCAGGCAGGCCTTCTGGCCTCGTCGCCCCAGACTGGCAGCACTCAGAATGCTTCATGACAGCTCATGCTTAGGTGATTTCTTCTCTTTAGATTTCCAGTTACTTTGGCTGTGTAACGTATTGCCATCAAGCTCTGTGGCATAAAGTAACCATTTATTTTGTTCGTGGAGTCTCTGGGGCAGGAATTAGGACAGGGCACAGTGGGGATGGCTTGTCTGTGCCCCGGTTGCGTTTCTGAGCCTCAGCTGGGCAGCACAAAGCCTGAGGCCGGGACTCATCTGAAGCTTGCTCACCACGTGTCTGGCCATGGGTGCAGCCCATTGGCTGGGGGCCTCAGTCCGCTCCCCATGTGGGCTGGTTGGGGCTTCCTCACAGCATGGGTGGCAGTGGTCCAAGGCTGAGCGTTCTGTGAAAACAGGGACCCAGCAGAAACTAAGTAATCCCTGAAGTCATGCTGGGATCCTTCTACCACATTCTGTGCATTAAGGCACTCTCCAAGTCCTGCCCAGGACCGCAGAGGACACTCAGAACCCTGCCCCTCCACCGAGGAACGTCACTGTCACACTGCAAGGAAAGCATATCGGATGGGATGGCTGGAACAGTTATCTTTGGAAAATATGATCTGCCAAATATTGTACCAAGTTATAATACATGACAGAATCACTCAAACAACAAGGCCCAGTGAAAATAGCACCACTGCCGTCAAGATCTGTGGACGTGCTAAGCTAATTTCTCTTTCTACTGTGCTCCCATAAATCTCTATTACAGACTTTCTAATTTGTATCATTTCACAAGCTTTATTTAAGATTTATGCAACTATGAGTAAATAATTCTTTTTTAAAAATTCAAGCAATATAGATACAGCTAAAAGCTCCCTTTGACTCTCCCATGCTCTGAACAGGTCTCCTTAGCATTTACTTACCAAATTAATAGTTACTTTCCAGACCTTTCTCTATATAGTTACAAACATGTATCTTTAGAAGTATATCAAATTCCCTGCCTTCAGACCAGAGAAGGTCTCCCCAAGAAGCCGTTGAACTTATCTGGACAATAAGATGCTGGACTCTATGCTTGGTATATGCTTAAAATGAAGGAATCTCAACTGACCTTGAACTGTGGTTATGCAACAAGGTGGAGGAATCCACCATGGGAGGAGGGTTAGGGGAAGGGTGGGGGGAATCCCAGTACCTATAGAACTGTGTCTCATAATACAATGTAATCAATAAAAAAAAATAATATAAAAAAAGAAGTGTATCAAATTGCTGTTTGTTTTATGACATTATTTTGTAGTTTTCTGAAACTTTTAAAAATAGAACATCACATGACCGTGTGTCCTTCCATGCATGTCAGTATTTAGAGGTCTGTCACATGCCTGTGCAGGGTGTGGGACTGCAGTGTCTGAATGCTCTTGTTGAGGGGCTCTCGGGTATTTGATGCTTCAGCGAGTAGCTGTGCGTGGATCCTTTCCTGTGGGTCCTAGAAATGGGACCCTTGAGTCATAATGTATGCCCAAGTGTCCCCGTGTAGTGGCACCAGTTCACATTCTGGTTCACAGTGTATAAAAGCATTCACTCCCCACCACATGTATACATACTGGGTGTTTGTCCCACTGAGCCCGAGCCTCCTCCTTCCCTGGAGGGAGATCACTCAGATGTCATGCTCATTGTTGCTTGCTTCTCTTTTTCATTTATAATAGAACTTTACTAATTTTGTTCTGTGTGTTTGTGCTCCAAACTGTGGTGTTCAATTTCTGTCGGTAGTCATTCCAAATTGAACATGCATACACGCATG